TGTAGGGACTACATTCTTAGTCTTTTGAGGTAGAAAATGTACACTTAGAAAGTTTTGACCTACTTCAAGCTGAATGACAGGGCAAAAGTCAATCTGAGAGCTAACTGCGACAGTGTCGCACACACAGAGATGGACGCTCTCTTCGCTGCTGTAACGTATTACAGTGCCACAAACAATCCTCCAGCAGCGGACACGCAGGGAAGATGAATAAGACAATTTCAAGACACATTTATGAGGTGGTTCTATCTGCATTGATTAGCAATTAGTGAGAAAAATAGATAAAGTACCAGAAAAGTAAATTGACTTCAGTTAAATTACACACAGAACATGAAATTTCATCCATTAAAAAATGGTCAAGGAAGCCGTAGCCGTGATTTGAGATGCAAAGAACCGTGCAGCCCCGATCATTTATATGCCTATTAAGTCTGAGCCAGTGTAACTTGAAAAGGGCATCAGAAATAAAAACAGGACAGTTTTATCAATTGCAGTAATTTAACACAAGTGTGAAGATTTTCTGTAGGTCCAGCTTTTATGAAAAACGTACAGATATCAAACCCCTGACATTCTTGAAAATGAGACTTTCTACATGGAAACACTAGCCGGGAGCCTGTTCTCCGTTACTCCAAGTGGAAAATCCACAAAGAGGTACACACCCGCCTAAAACCCCAGTACATTCCCTAAATCACAGTGAAGACCCACATATAAGGAACAGATTGTCACATTTGGATATAAAATACTTAAAACATTGTTTCCTGGTCCCTGAAAGTGGATATGGTTGTTAGCAAACAGGCACTTTATTTGTAGTAACACAGCCTCACCCAACATCTGCAACACACATAGGCACACACAGATACACACGGACACACACACACACACACAGATAAATACATATACACACCCAGGCACATATAGACACACACAGAGACACATACACATACATGCAGACATGCACGGACACACACGGAGACACACACAGACGTACCCTCATAGACACGCATGCAGGCAGGCACGCGTGGTGACCCCACCCTCGGTCACTGCAGACGCCTCGTTGCCATCAGGACGGAGGTCACTTCCGTTACAGAGCACCGTTCTCACTGTTGGGCTGCAGCAGAGTGCCCGGATCAGCCTGGGAGACAGGACGCTGTCCTGGACCTGAAGAGGCCACGGACGTCCCATCCCCATGAGGAGTGAGTGCGGACGGGGTCGCTGACCCTAGATCCCCAACTGGGAAGGAAGCTCGGTTTTATTTGTCTCGTTTCTGGGCGCAACTAGAGCTGGCCTCGCCACGTAACCCCGTGGTTCACCGGGGCTCGGTCCCCTCAGCTGGACGACGGGGCGATGATTCTTCTTTCTCAGGTTGTCGTCTGAGACGACACCAGGCCGGCGGGGCTGCAGACCCAAGCCCATCGGGATCCTGACCTGGGGCACCCAGGGAGCTTGTCTCGCCTGGGTCCTGAGCTGCGCGGGACACGGGCTCCGGTGTGCAGTCGAGTAGAGGCCGGGCAGCCGCAGTAACAGAGGTTCCGGAGCCCTGAGGCTCCCGGGCCCGGGGCTGGCGCACATCTTCTGAGGTGACCTGGGCAGGCCGGGTGGCCCCCTCCGGGCACAGGCCGTGGGCTGTCTTCTGGCTACAGCGAGAGGCAGCGGCCGAACAGCGAGCCAGCCCTGCTGTGCTGGACGCGGCCCTGCTTTCAGCTCCCAGGCTGTGGGTAGCCGCAGGCTGCACGCGTCCTCTGCCCGCGCTTACGGCCTTTCCATCCCCACCCACCCCGCCCCATCCACACCAGGGAGCTGCAGGACGTCCACTTCTGCACATAAGAACACCTTCTTTTCTACAATTAGCGTGGCTTTTATCACATTTGTTACATTTGTAAATAAAAGTGAAGATCAGAAGCCATGTCTCCAAATACAAAATCAGAGAAAAGATGGGAATAAACGAAGAAAACAGCGAATGCGTCCTTGTCCTGCACACATGCCGAAACCACACATCAACGGCGTGTAAGCTCTGCCTCTTCTGGTGGTCTGGGATATTCTTGTTCACATCTAGGGCACTTCCAGTGGTTAATAGAAAATAAAACAAACTTAAAACCCCATATTTACTTACATGAAGATCAAATGAGTTTAGTAGGTGAGAAAACCCCATGTACATTGTGTGTAAACATCAGGGAGCACTTGTGTGCACTTATTTATGATTCACAAGTCACCGCACGTTTATTGAGCCCCGGCACAGAGCACAGCGTGAGGTCGTGTGTGGTCCAGCTCTCTCCCCACAGACAGTGTCTGTGGTTGTCAAATACAGGGACTGGGTACTGTATTTTATATAATTTAAAAAGTGCATTTTCTTAAAAGAAAGGAAAACAAGACATGTTTTTTCCCAGTAAGTCCATAATCTGCATCACTGCCATTCACCACAATAATCAGTTTGTTTTCCGAAGTTCACTCCCAGTGATAAACGATCTTAGTCACAGAGACGCTTTTCCTAACGCTGGGAAAGTGCCATCTGAGAGGTCAGCGGTGGGAAAGGCTACAGCTGTAAAGCTGACTCGGTGTCACCCCAGAGCCTGTTCTTTCAGTGGGCATTGTTTTCAGTGCCGACGGTGACTTGGTCTCCGTGCAGATTCTGGGCAGAGCAATGAACAAGAGAAACCCCCAAGAACAAGGTCCCTTCTTCCAAGCAGCCTCTCGGGATCGCTTCCTGCCTTTTACGGTCCTCGGGCCCCATCCTTCAAGCTGGAGGTCTTTCTCATGACATCACTCTGACACCAGCCCTCTACCCTCTCTTCCTCTTCTAAGGACCTCGTGGTCACACTGGGGTACCGGGAGGGCCCCCCACCTTAGGGTCAGCTGAGTAGCAGGTCAGCTGCCACCCGCTCTGCCCCCCGCCGCGCCATGCCACGGAACCCCATGCGGTCACAGCTTCCGGGAGCCGGGATGTGCCGTCGTGAGCACGACCCCCTCACGCAGTGCATCCCTACCCCATTCCTCTGCACATGGGGGGGCGCTGGCTGAGATGGTGGGGTCCCAGAGCAAGTGGATGGTAGGACCAGGGCTCTCCAGTTGCCCCTGCCCACACTGAGGAAACCTCTCTGCCACTCAGATTCTTGTTGGGCTTGAGTAAGTGCCAGCTGTTTCCCACATTCTAGTTTGTCTCCTGTCCCCGTTGGTTGGGGGCGGTTCTTGAGAACATACTTTAGGGCTGGCCCTCTTCTCAGGGTCACTCACCAAGTCCGCACAGTGTCCAGCTGCCAGGCTCAGGGGGCGCATGAGAGTTTCCAGCTGCAGTTGGTGAGAGCAGTGGGGGCCGGGCTGTCGCCACCTGGCCTGACGCCCGGGTCCCCACGTGGTCCCTGCGGCCACCCTCCCTCGCCGTGGCAGCGTCTGTCAGCGGAATCAACGCCACGCCCCGTGGACTGGCTCATGCTTTCCTTTTGCTTTGCAGGAGCTCAAAGCAGAGTGTCCAGGACAAGCGGAGCCTCAGCCTGGAGGGCGACGTGCTGGCCGAGGCCCTTCAGCGCTACCTGCCCTACCTGGAGGCCCTGTCCCAGGCCGCTGTCCCTGATGTGCTCCCCGGGCTGAAGCCGGACAGGCCGCCGGCCCAGGTGACCCTCAGAGCCCCTCTCTGGTCTGGGCTGTGTCTGCCCCTGCTGGGGGCTTCCTCCGGGCACACACAGGGAACGTTTCCTATGGCTGTGGCATCGTTGGGCTTTTCTCCTGTGTCTCAGGCTAGCGGGGGGGCCAGGGAGAGACGGGGTGCGTCTCCACCCTTTCGGGAGGACCTGCACTTACCACCTGGACCCGGGACCTGGCTGCGTGGTCCACTGTGAGGCAGGACAGCAGGAAGTCGGTGGGCACAGGGTGAGCAGCCATCCTGGTTGACCGAGACTGTCTTGGTGTCGGCACTGAGGTCCTGTGTCCCAGCGCGGCTCTCCTTACGCAACCTGCCCTCGGGGGCGCCCTGTGTGCGGCAGCTGTCAGGTCCTCGGTGCAGGTTCATTCTGTACTAAGGCCAGTCTGCTCTAGAGCCATCCAGGACTCGAAGCCCACTGAAAAGAACAGTTTATAGAAACGATGAGAAATCTCATAACTTTCTAGTTGGGAAAGTATGCATGATTTTATGACAACCGGTTAAACCAGAGTCACCAGCTTTTGACTAGCCTAGAAGAGACGGGTCTAGAAGTGGTGTCCAGGGCCAGAGGCCCTCATGCATCTTGAGGGTGGACTTTGGGGAAAGCATGGAAGTCCAGGTGCCCTGGGCACGTTGGGTGTTCGGCAGCCACACTCACACTTCTTTCTGCGGAAGGTTAGTTCCGCCAGTGGAATTTGACCCATTTTTCTTTCTAAGCCTGATGCCATGCCGGAAGATGGATGAAAGCCCGGGACGCTTTGCTCCTCTCACACCCCCCAGATTCATCCCAAGGCGGCGCGGCCCTGGGACACCAGGGGAGCGATTTGGGCCACGCCTTCACTCGCTCTCCTGCCACTTCAGCCAGCTCTGGGCTGGATGTTGGGCGGCACACACGTGGTGGCCGTGCGGGGTGGCTGAGCTCGGTTAGCTCCCTGGACCCAGAGTGGCCTGAAGTCAGCTGGGGGGGCCTGAGTGGCCCCTGACTCTCCGCCAAGCCCGCCTGCTGTCCGCGCCCGCGAGACGCGGGAATTAGGAATAAACTGCAGCGCCTGTAGGGACTTGTTGACAGCACGGTCTTTGAGCCTCCGGGAGGTGCAGTGGTGACGCAGGTGAGCAGCCGACACGGCTCCGGGGGCAGATGTGCTGCCCTTCCGGCTGCACTCGGGCCCTCACACGGGTCCGGGGAACTTAGCGCAGAGCCCTTCCAGCCCAGACTCGTGCACACGGTGGGCCCGGCCCTGCGCGTGTTCTCCAGGCGCCTTCCCCACCGGAGGAGAAAGGTGACTGCTGCCTCTGCCAGGACCGTGCATTCCTCCCGGAGCTGCACCCTCGGCCCTGGGCTGCCTCGGAGAGCAGTGATCACGTCCCGACCTGCCCCCGCTTCTGGGCGACATTGACGGGGAGACAAAATGGCGGTCCCTGCCCTTGTCCAGCGTCCCGCCAGCAACGGCCGCCGCCCATCAAGTCTGCCCTCCGTAATCTTTAAACGCCCCCACCCAGTGGAATGACCGCACCTCGTGGTCCGGCTGGACCGTGCCGGTTTGTGCCTGCTGCCCCGTCAAAATTACCAACAAGCCCCTTTTCCCTCTCAGAAATGCCCAGTGTGAATAATGCATTCTGTGGTCAGCTCACCACACAGCTGTTTCAGCATGACAGTCACGAGGATTGTTCGAAAATGAGCACTTGGTGGCATTTTGGCTTAGGTATTTTTATCCTATGTTAAGATGGATGCTTCTCAATATTTAAAAATGCATGAAAACCTGGAACTCATTATTTTCTCTGTCCAGGGTTTAAATGAGGAGAAAGCTCTTCATCATCCCTGTAATAAACTGAGACAGGATAAGGTACAAGAAGCTCTTCGTGCAGACTTTTGCCCGGGATTTGCGCAGTGTTTTCTGACCCCCCTCTGCCCTCGGTTCAGTTGGAGATGGAAGCTTTCTACACTGATGATCTTTCAAGGTGCAGCCAATTTGCAATGAATTATTTGATGAATCATCTTTCCTATGTATGTGTCATCAAAAATCTAGCTGTCAGAGACAGAGGAATGCTGTGAACTTACCATCTTTAGAGGTTTAGTACTAATTACTTCCTGAAAGAAGCCAGAGGAAGTAAAATCACACTCCTCTTAGACAGAACCGCCCAGCCCCAAGCCCTGATGCACAGTTGTGCTCTTATCATCACCGAATCAATGCAGTTAGTGCTTCTGCATTGTTAGTGGTGGAAACCAGCTCTCACTTTTATCAACCACAGTAGGGCTGGTTCATTACAGAAAACGCTGTAGGTCCCAGTTTATTCTATGCTTTGGAGGAGGTTTAAACCGAAATTCATCATTTGGAAATACCATGAATTAACCGATTTATTTGGAATCCTTGTTTTACGCATTTTTATTATGCAAGAAACTGTGCTAGGTGCTGGGATTTTACATGCCTGCCCTCTAGGATTTTACAATCTCACTGAATGAGGGAGACACAAAGATACATTTAGAAACAGAGCAGGTGCTGTAATGGAGGGAAGGCTGAACTTGAACCAGGTGGGCACGTGGGGTCAAGGGCTTCCCAGGGGCTGGGCGTTGGTAGAACAACCAGCATCAGCAGCTGAAGACGCTCAGATGAGCTCAAAGTGCAGAACGTCAAGAGGTCCCCCCAGGCTACCCCGACAGCAGGCA